ATATTTCCTTATAATGTAGAAAATCTTAATAAAAAATGTTGCTAGGAGGAGTATATCCAGACTTAACTAATATTCTTATATCAAACTATAAAAAAACCATAGATGATTGGCTCAGTTTATGATAATTGTTGTAAACAACAATAATTGGTCAAAGGAAAGATTTTTAAATTATTTTGTTGGAACTTTTCAAGGATTTATTTTACAATTTCTTCGTCTTGATATATTAAATAAACCACGATGATATATTAAAATATAATTAATTAAGCATCGTCTTGATCTTGATCAGCTCCTGCTGCATTATCTTGAGATGAAGTGCTGCAGTTTCTCTTGTGGGAAGCCGCTTGGATGACATGGGCATAGTTCCCTTTGACCATGAAAAGCTGAGCAAAATGGTGCTTACAATACAGGACCCCGTCGAGTGCAGCGTAAGACGAGTGCGTCAAAGCGCACCCTCCATGGGCGCACCTAAAGCATGACCTATGGTAACATTCCCCTTCCATCGACATCTGCAAATTACAGAGCAAAATTCACGAGTGTTTAAAATTACAGAGGGATTTTACTAACCTTTTGTAATGGGTACACCGTCTTGTGGCATTCTGCACACTTATCTTGAGTTCCAGAAAACATGGATGAAAGCCTATTCGTAGTCTTGGACTAATAATACACGACAGTGGAGAACTTGTGTAATTTTAAGTAGGGTTAGCGAAACTTGTTACACATGAACAGATGGATTCAAAAATATTTTTGAAGATGGACACATATATATTGTTTACATAAAATTTTTGTTTGAGATATGCACAAATAAAGCTTTAAAATGGACACAATCAATAAAATAAATTATTAATAAAAAAATTCAAATTTTAAAGTACGTACGTGTCTATTAGGTGTGCATTAGCCAGTGTCTATTAGGTGTGCATTAGCCAGTGTGCATGAAGCCATTTTTCATGCGGAAACAAAGATAACATATAAAGGGAAAGAAAACATACATATTCCTTTTTCTTCTCCTTTGCTGCAGAAATGATAAGCAAGAAAATTAATGTTGTTAGCCTAACATATAGCCGGATAATAGAGTTCAAAAATAAAAAGTAATATTATGGGAATATTGTGTAGCTATGGTTTGATTTGATGGATATAAATATTAATGAATGATAGTACCAATCAATATCATGGATTAAAATCCGTAATTGTAAGCACATATATATAATGTATCATGTTATTATAAAGTGTGTTACAAAAAAAAGGTGACCAGTTATATTATATTATATGTGTCATATGTATTATAGCGTCATTGAATTAAAGTGTAGATAACATAAGTTATTTTTATAATTTGATGAGGGAGAATATTATAAATACTTAAAAGATTGATTGATATTCAATCTATATAAAGATATAGTTATCCCAAAGAAATAAGTTAATTTGTATTACTCTTATATCGCCAGAAATTTTTTACGATAAGAATATATCTATTTCCTTGCAAGATCACAACCACCTTCTGAGCGATCTCCACCAATGAATTTAATAAACTTCCATAGATCTAATATTTTACTTTCGATAATTTGACATAATTAAATTATGAGTTTTAATTTTATATTTGCTATGATTTGGTTTTAACAAACAAAGCTAAATCTGAATCTTTACAAACAAAACAAACAGAAAGATAGGTTTCTTACATGTTTGAAAATTCTTGCTGAAATTGCCGAATTCATTGAATAACTGCTCGAAGTGAGTCTTGCAATAAAGGACTCCATCCATGGAGGAATAGGTATTCATCTATGGAAGTACACAACACATATTTTGGTCATTTTCATGCCAAACAAAGAAAATAAAAAAGAGACAAAAACTTGGAAAAAATTAAAAAGAAAGATAACACAAGGTTTCCCTTGCAATGGTTGCATTTGAAGCAAGTTTTATGATAAGGAACTCCTTCAAGAGTCAACATATCCACAACATAGACAGTCTTGTCACAAGCCTTGCACTTGTCTAATGTTCCGGTGAATGCCATTTTTGTTCTGATTTCTCATAAACTCTTTTGAATATTTAAAAAAAAAAAACTATACACTACAATGCAATAGGCACGAGGAAAACAAAACTTGCTTTGTTTATAAAAAAACATTGTTATATACCAGACACGTGACTGAATATCGTTGTGGGAAATATGAGATGTAAATGTCCTCAAACCCCGTTGAACTGGAGACAACTAGGCCAAGTTTGGACGAACCAGCTATTTTTTGCCATTCAAGGTAAGTTTAGCATTCTTTGTTTTCTTAATCCAAATTTTAATCTAATACTAATATAATAAAGATGTTTATTTTCTTATTTTTTATTCGAAATAGCATAGAGACTAAATGATAAAAAATGCGTAGTATAGGGACTTTCCATTTTAAAAAAGATTTATTATTTAATACACCATCATTGAAAACAATAAAATGATAAAGTATTTTTAAAATTCCTTAAAAGAATAATTTATACTCACATAATCTCATGTTTTTTTAAAATCAAATGATAATTTTATAACTTTAATAGTAGTGAAATTCAATAAAAAAAACGTTATATGATAGATAGATAATGTATAGATTTTACCTTATATTTAGAAAGTAAGTTAAATATGTCAGATCACGAGTAAGTTTGACTTATATTAAAAAAACTTAAAAAGTCACTTTTGTCATTGTAATAGAACCAATTTATCATTTTCGTTCCTATCGTATTTTCGCATCAATTTAACCCTCAAAGTTGTTTAGTTGCATCATTATGCCCTTAAATTATAAACTCTAAGTTAGTGTTTAGAGTTGAGGGATTATCGTTTAGAGGCAGTGATGTTATGGTTTGAGGTTTATAAATTTTGGTTTTAAGTTAGGGTAGAGTATAAAATGATGTAATTGAGCAGCTTCAAGGGCTAAATTGATACAAAAATACGATAGGGGAGAAAGTGATAAATTGGGTCTATTGTAGAGGTGTGCAAAAAAACCCGATCCGACCCGTTGATCCGAAAATCCGGATATCCGATCCGTTTTTCAATTTTCGGATAGTTCGGATCGCATATCCGAATTTTTTTTTTCGGATTTTCAGATCATATACGGATCGATCAAAATCCAATTTCGGATTATCCGAAAACCCGAAAAATTTTGGGCTATATTATTAGCCCAGAGCTGTTTGGGCTATTAGACACCTTGTTCTGCCATTTCCTTTTTTTGCTTCTCGCCCGAAATGCAAACTACCCTGCACACATGGTGTTTGATCCTCAGTACCCTGGTTGGTACTATGATACAATTGCCCTAGAATGGAAGATGTTGGAGTTTTGTACTTCAACTGTAGAGCAGTCAACAATCGTGAATAATAATTGGCTATATCAAAATAAAAATATTGAAAGCTATGAATTCCAAGCTTTAGGTAGTCGAGACTTTTATATGAATCAGAGTGAATCTGCAGGTAACTACCATCAACAATTTTCAAATAGTTTTCAAGATTACTCAGTTTGGAAGAGTGAAACAAGTTTTTTCTTCTGAAACCAAGCAATTAGGAAACATTTACAATCCTGCAGATCATGTAGATAATCATGCAGATCAACAAAATGGATTTGAACCTTCTAGATCGGTTGATCCTTATAAACAGCAAACTCAGACTTTTCTACCTGGTGGTGAGAATGAGATATCTAGGTTTGACAGTTTTATTCCAGGTCAGAGTTATACTCCACTTAATAATCAAACAACTGTTCAGCCATAGCAACATATGCAATTCACACCGGCTTTCACTGATGCTAAGAAATCAGGAAATCATCCTCAAAACCCACTTCAAATAGACACTTTATTTTCTTCTTCACCCATTGAGGAAAGGTCTTCTGCTGGGCGACCTCCCCATGCACTAGTGACTTTTGGATTTGGTGGAAAACTTGTGGTCATGAGCAACAACAATTTGTTTCACACAAGTGCAATGTATGGGAACCAGGTAGCAAAAATTCATTTCTTGATTAATTTCAGGTAGTTCTAGTATCCTTTCTGTTGCAACTCTTTGCTGCTGGGTATTTGGATGCGTTGATAGTTACTTTCATTGCATGCGTTGAGAGAGGTTCATAGACGGACTTTTGCATCAGATGTCGCTTCTAACCTGTTGCCTGCACCATTGACTGATGTTATTGTACTATGTTATCTAAAATTTTAATTGTAGTGAGGCATGTAATTATATCAACAAATTGTTAGAAAACAAGCAAATATAAATATTTTAATTTATGTTTTTCTTGAATTTTTTGCAAAAAAAATTTATGATTCGGATTTGGATATTCGGATATCCGATTTTTTCGGATCGGATACGGATAATTATTTTAGGTATCCAAAATTTTCGGATATCTGAAAATTCGAATCGGATAATATCCGATAATGCACACCCCTAGTCTATTGCAAGGGCGAAAGGTTTGCCAAAAAAAATCATCTTTTGTATTAACCTATTTTTTAGGTTTATTATTTGTTATACCTTCGAGACATTTTTGGACAAACAAATCCTTTTAAATTTGATATGAAACTTTAAGCTTAGACACATAACTCTATCTTTAAATATGTCTAAATGTGAACTATTTTATTAGGTTATTGTATGATACATTAGACATAATTTATAATTAACTTTAATATGATTCGATGATTTAATCCAATTTCCTGTAACAAGATATTTTAATAGTAGTATTTTTCGAAATTATTTAATAATTAAAGGATAATTTTCTAATAATGTAAAAATTACAAAATCTAGATAGATATTATACAATTGAAAAGGAATTGCCCTCACACATTTTATAAATGGATTTATTATCCAAACTATTTTTTAAAACTTTTCATAAACTTTTTACCCGCCATATGAAACAGAATCAGTTTGAACTTTGCACCAAAAAAAAAAGAAAACAGAATCAGTTAGCAGCCACGCGCCCCTAATACAACAGCTTAAGGGCATATGTGTCAGTCATGTCAGATTATCTATAAAATCTCATACTTCGCGGAAAAAACTTTAAAAAAAGAAATCCACCAATCACCTAACTTCCAAGCAGAAAAAAAAAAATTTGCGCCTCTCTCCAACACAACATTTCTTCTTTTCTTTGAGCGGTAAGTTCACTCTCCCTTCACTTCTGTTTTTCGATTCTTTTACAGAACGCTGCTGGTTTTCTAGCTTATAGGGCTGCTGGTGTGGATTCATTGATACTTTTTCTTGCCAGGTTTTTGATTAAAACGTCAATACGAGTGCTTGAAATTGATTTTTCACGGATAAAGATAGGTGTGGAAGAGAGATGGATTTTGCTTGTAGTTTCAAGTATCCTAATAGCTTTCATGGTGGTGAAACTACTCGTTGTAGAATACTGTATCCGTTAAGCCGTAGGTTTAGATGTAAGAATTTCAGTTACAATGTTTTTGATTCCGAGATTGGAATCAAAACTTGGTACTTGAATAAAATGAAGAATAGTCTGGTGTATAGTGGCTGTTTAAGTTCCAATTTGGTTTTCAGAGGGAAATTCGATAGTCATTTGTGTAGCGTTTTTTCAAATACATCGTTTTGTGGTTTACAAGATGTCTTGAAAGTAAGAGGATTTAGGTCACGTTGTCAAGGTAATGATTCTTTGGCATATGCTGATGGGACTGGTACTGTCTCAAATGGTTTGGGAAAAGAAGAAAGAAATGAAAGAGATGAAGTGGAAACACCAACTGTCAATGATTTGAGGGAATTGTTGCAGAAGGCAATGAAGAAATTGGAAGTTGCACGTCTTAATAGTAAGATGTTTGAGGAAAAGGCACAAAGAATATCAGAAGCAGCGATATTCTTGAAGGAGGAAGCAGCTAATGTTCGGATTGATGTTAGTAGAACACTTGATATGATTCAAGACATTGTGAAAGAAGAGTGTGTTGCTAAAGAGGCTGTTCAAAAGGCAATGATGGCACTATCTTTAGCCGAGGCAAGGCTTCAGGTGACAGTAGATTCATTTGAGTCTCATAAGGAGGTAAATAACCCCCTAGAAAGATCTGGGGAGAGCTATGTTGAAACTGATGTCACAGGAGATAATGGAGCACTATTGGCTGCACAAGATGAGATTAGAGAATGTCAGGAGAAGTTGGCAAAAAGTGAAGCAGAGTTAAGACACTTGCAGAGTAAAAAGGAAGAGTTGCAGAAAGAAGTGGACAGATTGAATGAGGCTGCAGAGGAAGCAGATATGGATGCCTTGAAAGCCGAGGAAGACGTGTCAAACATCATGCTTTTAGCGGAGCAAGCTGTTGCTTTTGAATTGGAGGCTGCACAGCATGTGAATGATGCTGAGATATCCCTACAAAGAGTAGAGAAGTCTCTTTCTGTTTTGACTGGAGAAGCTCTCCAGGGGCAGATTTTGGGTGAAAAGGCTATTGTAGAGGAGGGGGAGACCACTCAAGGTGCTTCCGATGCTGTTATTATTAAAAGAGAAGAGGATACTTTGATTGTTGAGCCTAAGACAGACATCTTATCTAAGAAAGCGAGAAAAAGTTCTGAAGATCTCAAACAATTTGATGAGTTGAGTGATCATGAGAATGGGATGCTGGGTTTAGATTCACTTAAAGAAGCTGAAATTGAAGCAGAAAAGTCAAAAAATGTTCAACTAAAGAAGCCTGAAACTCAAAAGGATTTGGCAAGGGAGAGTTCACCTCCTAGTACTCCAAAGTCATTGTTAAATAAATCTTCTCGTTTCTTCTCTGCATCATTCTTTTCCTCCACTGCTGATGGGACAGAATTCACACTAGCGTCAGTTTCCCAGGGTCTTTTGGAGTCTGCAAGTAAACAAATTCCTAAGCTGGTCGTAGGAGTACTGCTATTTGGAGCTGGGTATGTTTTGAATAAGATATTTAAATATGTCACTGTTCCGGAAATTTCCTGTATGTGCCTTTGCTTAACATTGTTGATTTCTTGCTCCATAACTCAAATGGGCATATTAAATTAACTTTATTTTTTGATGGAATCTGTAGAAACAAGACGTGTTTCCTTTGTAATGCTATGTCTTTTCTTCTTTGATTAAAATTTTAGATCAAGAAGATTACTGCTTGCCATAGTGCAATTGAAAACAATGAGTCAAATATTCTGAAAGGGACTATTCAATTGAGTTTGTGTTTTATCAGTTGGTTGCTATTTATAAGATTCCCTAGTTGGAACAATGATTGTCCACCTTCAATGACAGAGCCGCCTTCCATGCTAATCGGGCAGAGAGGAATTCTCAGCTGCTGTTGCAGCCAGATGTCGTTATCAACACAGGTATAGAAGAAGTTTCCACAAATGCAAAGCCTCTGATCCGAAAAATACAGAAAATACCGAAAAGACTCAAGAAACTAATTGCAACGCTTCCTCATCAAGAGGTATGTGAATGATTATTAAATATCTATGTGTTATTTTAAAGTTTAATCGTCAACTCGTCATCTCATTTCAATGTATGAATTTATCAGATGAACGAGGAGGAGGCCTCCCTCTTTGATGTTTTGTGGTTATTGCTTGCAAGTGTAATTTTTGTGCCTGTCTTTCAGAAACTTCCAGGAGGTGATTAAAATCCTGTATTATTAATTTCAAATTTGAGCGTGTTGCATAGAGATGATGCTCTTAAGAAAAAGCATAATTATTCTTTTCATGCTTTTTTTGTCTTATTTTATTATTATTATGTTTCTTCATAGTCCTGAGTACACTAAATTCTGTTTGGAGCTTCCCTTCTCCTTATCATGAATTGTGCTTTTTTCCTTTATTCTTCTTTGAATTTTGTATTAGTTGATGTTTCTGTTCTATCTGCTCCAAATTTTAGGCAGCCCTGTTCTTGGATATTTGGCTGCTGGCATCTTGATTGGACCTTATGGTCTGTCCATAATCCGTAATGTGCATGAAACCAAAGCAATTGCTGAATTCGGAGTCGTTTTCTTGCTATTCAATATTGGCCTTGAGGTGGAATATATTGTTAGATTCACTGTTCCAGCTATACATTGGACTCCGTTATAAGAAGATATTAAACTTGAACCCTCATCTTTCTTTTTGCAGCTATCTGTGGAAAGGTTAATTTCCATGAAGAAATATGTTTTTGGATTAGGCTCTGCCCAGGTGGTTGACAAAATAAACTTCATATCATTGTCACTTGTATTTTACCAAGTTTTTTTTTTAACTTTTATGTAATACAGGTCTTGGTGACAGCAGTTGCAGTTGGTATGGTTACTTATTTTGTTATTGGGCAGCCTAGTTCAGCTGCGATAGTGATTGGCAATGGACTGACCTTGTCTTCAACTGCTGTTGTCCTTCAGGTAATTAACTTAGGCTGATTTTTCAGATTTCATTTATTGTAACATTGTATTACCGTCTCTGGGACCATATGAAGAAAAGCGAAAAATTTAGACAAGCTTCCAAGAGCAAAAGATTTGAATGTTCTTGTTGAATATGTTATACATATCTTTTTTCCGTTATATTCTTCTGCTGCATCTAAAATATTTGAAAACCATAATATACCTCAGGTTCTTGCTATGTCTTTACAAATCTAATTGCATCTTACTTTTATCATTTGTTTTATATATAAACACACACACACAAGTACAGATTGTACTGTCACAATAACTTAGCTACCAAAGAAGAATGAAACCTAGAGGCTCCTTTAGATGGACATATAATTGATGTTGTCTTTATTTGCAGGTATTACAGGAGCGAGGTGAGAGTACTTCGCGCCATGGACGTGCTACATTTTCTGTCTTACTTTTTCAGGTTATCCTTTGATCTCAGGAACGTTGACTGGCTTCAGCATGCATTTTGTTATGAAATGAGTTTTTTGGTCAAGGATAATTGTTCTTCATGTGTTATTAACTTATTATCAAAAATCAACATCTTCATGCTTTAAATTGCCATCTCTACCCTCAAATAAGCAAAAGATGAAATTAGATATCAACACAATATGGTGATTAGCTATGCACTCAAACCATCTAGCTCTTGTAATTCTTAAATGTCATGTTGTCTGTTAGCTATTCTTTCCTGGACTCTTATGGATTGTTAACTATTCTTTCCAGGACTTGGCCGTTGTTGTCTTGCTTATACTCATACCTCTTATCTCACCAAATTCATCAAAAGGAGGGGTAAGGTCTTCTAGCTTATAATAATCCGTCTTTGCTTTTCCTTTTTGTTCTACGTTTGACATTGAAGGTTCTGAGTTTGTCTTGCTCTGATGGTATGTCGTTTTGATACATCTGGATTCCTTGTTCTAATGCTTGCAAAAAACCTGGAATGTTGGAACTCTATTTTTGATGAATGACTCATTCATCTCGTTAAGGTTTCTTAGTTGCTATTTATGTTTTTTTCTTTTGAAGTTTATTCCACTGATTTGCTAGAGGGAGCATGTGCTTTCCCCAAAATCTTGTCTTTTGTGTTAGATGATGGTTCTCCATAAAATAATTTTAAATTTCTAATGAACTTTTAAGAAACTAGTTTGGATAAACATTTGCTAGAGTAAATATTCAGGGAAGAAACATGAACCCATCTTGTCTGGTTTATATGACTGATGTATTCCTGTTATCTTTTCTGGTACTGCTTCTACACCTTATATTGGTACTTTGGCTGATGCATCTTTTTCCTGGTTTCAGGTTGGTTTTAGAGCCATTGCAGAAGCTCTTGGACTGGCTGCTGTTAAGGCAGCAGTTGCCATCACTGCAATTATTGCTGGTGGAAGATTGGTAAGTTTTATATCTAAGACACTCTTTTTTAATGATTATATCTAAGACACTCAAGTTATGACCTCAGGTTGCACTATTTTGTTATTGTTACTGCAATTTTCATCTTAATTTGTCTTGTAATCTTGACTGTTGAGAAAATTCAAAATACTATATTAAGAATGTTCAAATATAACCTGGCTGGATGTATGTGCTATCATTCAATCGGAGATAACTGATAATTTCTTCAGGTTTGATACATATAATAATGCATCTAATAGACCCACAGTTTTCTTAACTTAAGATTGTCCAATTCTGAAAAATGACTAGTGCTTTGGACACACACCATCTCCTGATTCTTATAACTTTTCTTCTTTCTTGCAGCTGCTTCGGCCAATTTATAAGCAAATAGCAGAAAACAAAAATGCAGAAATATTCTCTGCCAATACCCTCCTTGTCATTTTAGGGACAAGTCTCCTAACTGCTAGGGTATGAAAACCTTACATTCTTTTTCTCAATTTTCCCCCCTTAAGAAGTTATAATACCTTAGATCCTCCCTTTTTCTTTTACTCTTCTTGTTGAGCAGGCAGGACTTTCCATGGCTTTGGGAGCATTTCTAGCTGGTTTGCTACTTGCAGAGACTGAATTCTCTTTGCAAGTTGAATCTGATATTGCTCCATATCGAGGCCTCTTATTGGGTCTCTTTTTCATGACGGTATTTTTGGCATCTCCAGAATGTGTAGATGTACTAGATGTTTGTTTCATTGAATTACATTCTTGCTTCAGTTGTAAAACATGTCGTCAACAATCTCTAGAGCAGGTGGTTAAAAGCTCTTAATTGAAACCTTCCCTCTCTCCTTGGTTGCAGGGTCAATAGACATTAGGAGCTAGATTCCCCTTCCCCCTCCCCCTAGATAGGAATTGTTCAAAAAAAAAAAAAACATGCCTGGTGCTAATTTTTATAGGGCCTTAAAGTCATGTTTGGTAGGTAAAGAAACAATAGGAGGAGGAAATAGATTTTTTAATTCCATTAGTGTAATATTATAAAATATTCCCAAATTCATTATTATTGGAGGAGGGGGAGGGATTGTTCCGGATTGAACTCAGGACCTAATGTCAACTAGGACTAAAGTGATGTCCCTTGTCAGTACACCACAGGCTTGATTGAATCCGAATTTATTATTATAACAATACAAGATGATTCTATCCCATAAATTGAAGTGGGAAATGGGGGGTATGGTTGGATGAAATCATTTATATCATTTATTAACTACTGAGTTTGGAGAATTATGGCGCTTGCCTAGCCTTGCATTTGGTTTTACGTTATTGGTCTTGCCATATATTGATGATCAAGCATGTGAAACTGATGACAAGTTCTTACTGAGTTTTCAGGTTGGCATGTCCATTGACCCGAAACTTCTTCTTTCAAATTTTCCTGTCATTGCGGCTACATTGGGACTCTTAATTGGTGGCAAGACTATACTGGTGGCACTGATTGGTAGGCTTTTTGGTATTTCAATCATATCTGGGATAAGGGCCGGTCTTCTTCTTGCTCCAGGTGGAGAATTCGCATTCGTGGCTTTTGGTGAAGCTGTTAATCAGGTTTCTTTCCCCATTAACTAACATCGTTTTGTCATGAGGTTTTTTCATTCACATCTAACAGTTTATCCTGCATTTGCTACACATTTATTTAATCTCTTGGGCTATGTGATCCTACTTTCGATTTTTTTCTGCCTTAGGCTGTTTCTATTTGTTACTATATTGTGACATTCATTAGTTGGGTCTTTCTTTTTAAGTGATCACATTTAGTTTCCTAATCAACATGGATCATCCTTCTATATGATTGTTAATCCAACTTCAAACTGTTAAATAATGAGATGTTAGTTGCTTATGCAAGTATTAATGGTGTTGTTGGCAGGGTATAATGTCCTCTCAGCTATCCTCGTTGTGTTCCTTGTTGTGGGGATCTCAATGGCCCTCACACCATGGCTTGCAGCCGGAGGCCAGCTAATTGCCTCTCGTTTCGAGCTTGTTGATGTCCGAAGTTTGTTGCCAGTTGAGAGTGAGGTAATATAATGTTTCCAACTTAATGTTCCACTGAGATTATTGTTAGAAACTGGGAGAGAAAAGATCGTATTATTTACTAAATTCATTCTTCTTGCTTATCTGTTTTCTGATTTGGGTTTATTTCCAGACCGATGATTTGCAAGATCATATTATCATTTGTGGCTTTGGACGTGTTGGCCAGGTGCTTATATATTTGCTATCTTCAATTGCGAAAATTAGTCTAAAAATATTAATTTTTGAAGTTAGTTAACAACGAACACATGTATGTGGTGGTTTTTCTCTTTCTTTCGACTGTTCTCAGATCATAGCTCAGCTTCTTTCAGAACGCCTAATTCCATTTGTTGCTCTTGATATAAGGAGGTAACCCCCATTTTTTGTAGGAATTATTTGCATATTTTTATGCTTATGATTCTTTTCCATTTTTTCTACAAGTTCAAATGATATTCACTAGTAATAATTATGATTTTGCTAACATCTAACTCCATCTCAAGCTAGGGTAGCTCTATTTCCTAGTACGTTTTCTCTTCTTCACTGCAAAGAAGTTGACATCTTTGTTTAAGAAGCTAAAACATGCACTGAGATAGGCTGAGCCATACTGGAACTAAAAAAGTAGCACATATCCTAAGCTCCTCAATCCATCTTATAGGAAACTAAAAGCTCTGCTCTTTCAGTGATCGGGTGGCTACGGGGCGTGCACTGGACCTTCCCGTTTATTTCGGAGATTGCGGTAGTGAAGAGGTAAACCGACACTAGTTCGAAATAAGCTAAACTTTTAGATTAATATATATCATTCTTTATGCTGGGTTCTAGGTGCTTCATAATGTCGGTGCTGAAAGAGCATGTGCCGCGGCAATAACCTTGGATTCTCCTGGTGCCAATTATAGAACTGTTTGGACTCTAAGCAAGTATTTCCCTAATGTGAAGACTTTTGTCCGCGCTCATGATGTTGATCATGGCCTTAGTTTAGAGAAGGCTGGCGCTACAGCTGTAATGTTCCGATTACTTCATACTAAATTTTCCTCCCACCTTTTCGTTCTTTCGGTGTTTCTCTCTAATTCTCTTATTGCTTTTTCGGCCCGCAGGTTGTGCCGGAGAGCTTGGAACCCAGTCTGCAGCTGGCAGCCGCTGTTCTTGCACAGGTGTGATGGATGATTGTATTGGCATCCTGAACTGATCACTTCCTTGGCAAATACTGATACTGCTTTGAAATTGTTCCTTAAGAACAGATTATGATCTTGATGTTCAAACTTTGCATTGTATTGGCAACTTGTTATCCAAGCCTTTTACCTTTTTCGTTTCTTTATGTAGGCTAAACTTCCTGCGTCGGAGATTGCGGCAACAATCAATGAATTTAGATCCCGCCATCTTGCGGAGCTAACAGAGGTACCCCCTGACTCGCTCGTTTTGATACCGGGAAATTTAAAATCACCGATATTAATAGTTGAACAAGATAGACCGTGTTTTCTGTTGTATTCAAATTTCCGACCTGACATGTTTATGTAAAATTGTCAGGCTACTGGAAGTTCTCTTGGCTATGGATTTTCCGAGTCATGAGTAAACCCAAAGCTCAACGGTAAGATATGAAACTTTTGCAACATGAAAGATTCTTGGTGTTGGGAAAAAAATGTAAGGAAAAACAGTACAGAAGAGTGAGAAGGCTACATGCCCTCCATTGTAGCGAATTGTATAAAATATATAGAACGAAAGGGATAGAAGAACAGGAATTAGCCGACTTTTGAGATGGACTTTCAAAGTGAATAAGCCGGGGGTTTTTTTTGACATAATCATTTTGATACTTCTTTTAATATTTTGGTCCCAATATTTTATTTTAAGGGAAAATAACTCCTAATATTTACTTAACCATATATTTTTTTAATATTTTGGCTCTTAACATTTGATTTAGAACAAAAATATTTTGAAGCTTTAACAGTTTAGTGATTACTGATTTTTACCCATTGGATGAGAGTATTTTTTATCTTAAAATGAAATGTTGGGTTAAAATACTCTAAAAATGAAATATAAGTCAAAATAATTATTTAATTAAACTTCAAAAGATTTTTTTAACAAACCTTTCTTTGGTTGCAATTGCGTATAAAATTTTCAATTTAAAAGAAAAAAACAATTTCTGTAATAAAACAGATATAAATGTAACATTCATTACTATTTCCCGAATGCATCAGTTAAAAAATTTCCTTCATTTTTATGGTTCGTCTTTTGGTAAATAAATCATTAAATTGCAGTAACCCAAAAGTAAATATGGTTCTATCAAAGATTTTATTTGTGGTAAAAGAATGGTGATAAAACAATTCCTTGCAAACTTTAACAGCGACTCATGAAACTACAGACATTGATAGCCAACACAGGGTACGGAAAATAAGTATATCAAAGAGGAAAGTTTCAGCTGTTCAAGCATTCAAGGGGTTGCTAATAAAGAGAGCTTTGCACTGCTCCGCTGTATCCTCGGGGCTGGCAGCTGCAAAAATAGTAATAATAAGCCTGAAGCTTTCATTGGCAAAAATGTTTTGGAAAATTTTGTATTGTGGTTGAGAGTAATGTGGACTTTAAATGCTTAACTGACCTGTGTGTCCTACTGTTCTCTCTGATTCATAAATTTCATGATCGTTCCCCCCCGATCACAAAACACCGAGGCAATATCGTTAGGCCACATGAAACACGTTAACTTATGTAAACATAATAAAGGTATAGATTGAAAGAAAGCCAATGACCAAAGAGTGATGACAGTAAATCTATGTCGTCTGCACCGCGGAGTGTAATGGTTGTAAGATTTGAATCGAATGAGAAGCCAACCTTGTAAGTTTTGTCACCATATAAATGAATCTCTTTAAATTCTTCAAGGTATCTCAAGCAGTATGTTTTGTCCCAACCCCGTGGGAAAACCTGTTACAAGCAAAACGAAGCAATAAATAATTCAATGAATCAGTACTCATACCTAAATCTGTTTAACTGCAAACCATATGTGTTGCTCACATCAAAGCTTATTTGTCCCCCAATCGAGAATGTCGAGGTGAGAAAACTTTTCTCGAAGCACCGAAACCATTTTGGGGCGGATGTTGTGAACCCGGAACCAAAGCGTTTGTATTTGTGTAAGCATACATCTATAAGATCTACACTACAAAACTACAAGTTCCATACGGTATATTTATCTTGTCATGCTTTTCAAATTCATCCCTTTCTTCTTGGCTGCAGTTTCGCCCAATTGGAGATAATCCCACTTCGGAATTCTATGAATGTACCCCTAAACAAAAAGTTGATAGAGGGCTGGTGTTCTTAACACAAATGATAATGCATGGAGTTCAACTAGACTTAGATATGAACTCCGTTCTTCATCACCTTTTTATGGGGATATCCAAGTCAGCGATATAATGCAGTGTAAAGTTTATAAATTCCTGCACAATCATTTGCAATCTATGAGCAAATACTTGAGAACATACGTCAATATATTCTCTGCAGATGCAGTTTTTTTACCTATCATTCAAACAGAACTTGAACTATGTGCAAGTCGGATACTCTAGTCATCCCACATTCAATTTTGATAAAGAAGAGCATAAAGATAGAAGGGATTCTCTATATCATCGTTAATCAGACATTTAGGTAGCCATCACAAGCACTAATCACAAACTGCTGAGAAAAGTCGATGGCATCCTAACAACACTTTAGCCTGAGATTTTTCATTATGCAATCCTTTATAGATTTTCAATAGGATATGATCACATCTAAGAAGGGGGAAAATCTAACCTTAAGGTTTTCTTCTCCCAGAAATGACCTCAAGCTCTGGAAACCGGGAAAAGAGACTCGTCAGAGAAATGTAGATCACCTTAAATGAACCGAGAAATTGCATGCTGTGAATTATACCTCGGTGCCGACGAGTCTTCCATCTTTATGAGCAACAAGCCCATTTTCAGAAAATACATAATGATAGTATTAATAGGGGTGCTTATCGAGCGAGTCGATAGAGAGTTAGGTAGTGTTCGACTCATGCTCGTTAAGAAAATCTTGTTGCTCGGCTCGTGAAATTTTTGCTCGACTTGTGCTCGTTAAGCTCATTACGAGCATCGTTGCTTGTCTCATTGCTCGTTAAGCTCACCAAAATTTTTATCTTATTTTTTTTTATTAAACTAAGGTGATTATAAAGTAATATATCTTCTAGAAACTTATCTTATTTTTTATCTTATTGACCGGTCAATCACCTTGCTATAGCCGCTTGTGCTCGAATTAATGACCTCTAGAAATAACAATAATTCATTTAACCACTGAGGTAAGTTGATTTATGCTTTATCATATTTTTTTACTATAGGAAAAATCTACTAATACTATATAAAACTTAATATAATCGTAAATTGATAAATTTAACAAAAAAAAATTATCAAAAGAGTGTATGAAACAAATTCAAAGTCTAAACTCCAAAATAAAATTCCACAAATATATTAAAATAATAATTAGGGTTTAATTTTTAGATGAAATAAAATAATAATTATTAATTATTAATTTATTATTTTTATTAGAAAATTAATAGATTAGTCGTTATCATCATCAAATAAAGCAATCAAACCAGGTTTCCTGACAGCCATTGAAGTTTATTTATTTTCCTCCTCCTGCCATCAAAATTACAAAGCTTTAAAATTGAAAAACATAAAAGCCACATTCTTCCGATAAGAAATGAAAACTTAAAACCAGAGAAGAGGTGGGGATTAACTGAAATTTTCTGGCTTGGATTTTTTTGACGGTATATCGGAAATTTTGAGTTAAAACAGCGAAACAAAAGCACATCTTTAAGAACGGAAACGGGGATGTATTTCCGAGGATAAAACAATTGACTGAGAGGGTCGCTTGAGATTGGGATTTCCTTTAGATATGGGAATTCCTCAACGAAGAGAATGCATGAGAATGGCACCATTTATATATTATGAACATGAAAGGGAGAAGAATAACCTGAAGAAAGGATAAACTTAGTAGCATATTCCCAGTAGAACAGACAAGGTTTGTGTGTGGTTGAAAGGGGATGAGCCAATGAGCGAAGCAACCCAACTAATGTATTCGGAAGGTGAACTTGCAATGCCTTCTCAGGATTGACAAAACATTCTTAAATAACGAAGATCAAATATCGATTCTCATGTGTTCGTTAAGTGTGAATCTTAAAAGCAAAGGGAGAGATTTCTTTATTGTGCTTGTAGCTGTTATTTTCAGCATGATATAGCCATGAAGAAAAAAGATGAAACCAGAAATGGAAGACAGATTTGTGGGGTGATGAATACAAGGAGAAAGATGATCTCCAATGAATTGCCTGTAAAATCAAAGGTGTTCTGTTCACCCTTTAGTTCCCGTGGGAAAACCTGATTCGAGCAAAACGCAGCAATGATTAATTCAATGAATCAGTCCTTATCTCTGTCGACCTGCCAATCATATATGTTGCTCACGTCCAAGCTTATTTGTCTCCCAAATGAGAATGTCGAGGTGAGAAAAATTTATCTCGAACCACCAAAACCATTTTCAGGCGGATGTTGTGAACCTGTAACAGAAGTTGAAATTTCTCATTTGTTAGTTAAGTGTGAATCTCAAAAGCAAAGAGAGATTTTTTTTCTTTTGTTTGTATCTGTTATTTTCAGCATCATATAGCCATGAAGGGAAAAGTCGAAACCAGAAATGGAAGACAGATTGTGGGGTGACGAATACAAGGACAGAGACTATCTCCAATGAAAGGCCTGTAAAAATCAAAGGTGTTCTGTTCACCCTTTAGTTCCCGGGGCAATTAACTAACAACGAGGGTGCTGAATATATTGTATTGTTTTATCCCACATCGTTAAAATATAAAGGAACGAAGCTAAGAAGGAGCATTTAAAAGGAGGCTAAGAAGCAACGTTAATTTCTAAAGTTTAATTACAGATACGAGGCCAATAGCCCAACATGTAATTAAACTTATTTTTCGAGTGTGAAACCCATAGTAGTAGCTTTGATACTGGGTATCACCAACGTCGCCAGAGCGGTACACTCTATTTGGGCCAATGGCCCACCAAATCAAGTTCAATTAGTCCCAATCAATTTTTTGGGAATTGATAAACTATGTTCATCTAGGAATGTGTCTGGTAGATCTGGAAATTATAAATTCTCCTGATTTAAAAATTATACACCTTTGACTCTATACGACTGGACTATATTTTTTAGTCTATCCGACTCAACAATATTTTTTTAGATAAAATTCAAATCTTCTTAATATATTTATTAAAAAATATTATTTTTATTTAATAAAAATGAAGATTTAATTTAAAGGAAATAATATATAATAGGATATTATTATAGTATTTTTAAATATATAAAATAAAATTATAATTTTTTTGGATCAGATATTTTTTTATCATAAATTATTATCATAAATCATCTGAATTTGACTAAACTTAAAAAGACCCGACTCGAATTTAACTTTTTTTAGAAAAATTCAACCTAATCGGATTGGGTCGGAATCCGGGTTTAGGTCTCCATCCTATCTTAGGGTTACTGCCCCAAATTTTTTTTTATTTTTTATGACTAAAAAATGTATTAAGGTAAATACCTGCTTCAAATTATTTTAATTTTAGGCATAAATGTTTCCTAAATTATAGAGTATTACTTTATTAAACCTCAAAACTATTAAAATTTAAAAAATAATTCTTCAACTATAAAATGTTGCTTTGTTATATCTTTGATTATTAAAAATTATAAAAAAAGTATGACAATATATGTACGTAAGTATGAAGCATTCATGTGAAAAATTCCTCATTATCTACGTTGCATTTTATTTCTGGGTCAGATGTTGAGCTTTCTTTAATTACTTAACAGCTACTTATGTTTTTTTTAAGTGAGTCGTTTGGTCAAAGAATGCCAACTTAATCGTTATTTTCGTTACTTTTGTAACAACAGTTAACGACCGAGTGATCAATAATTTGTTATAAAACGATAATATTAGTGATTGTTGCTTTACTGTTGAAACTTTCATACTAAAAAATTATTTATTTATACTTCAGTGACCATTTATAAAGTTTACCAATAAAAAACACAATTTGTATGATATATCAAACAGGCAATTAACCCATAGTTCTTAAACTAGGAATTTTTTCAACAAATTATCAAGAACTTCAATCTTCAAACGTAATTGAATTTTTTAACTAAACGACGTACCTCATTCTTCTTGCAACAAATCAACGGGACTAAATAATCCAAAAACAGCTGAAACCAAAACAAACACAACTTATTGATAAAGTTATCAAATCCACTGCAAATAAACAAGTACATGTTTGCTGGTTTGAAGCACCGTTGGTACTTCATCAAACAGTCCCAGCCAGACTTTAATAATCTTTGTTCCCGAAGTTCTTGCACCAGAGCTGCGAAGGAATCGGACGGACAGGCTGATGAGGCCGTTGCTGCAACAAAAAGGACATATTGATGGAAATACAAGGTAGGGGATACATAAAGACATGCATGTTGAGAAGAAATCACCCGATTTAGTTACAGTTTCAAAGCAACTCATTGCTCTATACATCTAATTTCCACACAAACTAGTTTGATCAGCTGAGACCAGAGGACCACTTAAGGAGATAAAATGTGCATATTAAAGCAATATGAATATATGGGCATTTCATTCAATAATTTGATGAAGAAACAACAGAACATTCTGCCAATGACAAATTGATCATCTTGGAAGGCATAGAGAGCGTTGAACTTCTAACATACAAGCATGCAGAGTAAATGTCATTGAGGAAGCTATCTTGTGGATATCGGATGAGACAATAGGAAACCATAAATCATATAATCACGTAAACCAGGAAGCATTAGGTCTATTGCTATTCAGTATTCATACAAGAATAATTGCAATCTAGCAGCTACGAGAAAAAAAACTTTTCAGCACCATTTATGGGTTATGATTAAACCGGGAGAAAATTTAATGAACATCAAAACTATGTTTCAAGACAAAATTTAAACAAAAACAGTTAACTAAATGTTTGAAGGATCACACAGATAGATGATAGCCTTATTCAAAAGAGATTATCATAATTGACCTTCATATCCACTTCCATTGTTGTTTACATATAAAATTTCAAGCTTTTACCAAAAGTTTAAAGCTTATGTTGTTCAGATTTGTACCAACAATAATCGGTAAAATTGTTATTTAGTACCTTCAAAATTGTAACTTTTTAAAGTATTATAATGGTCAAATTATATCCCCCCAAAAAATGATGACCTTATAATTTAGTCCCTTAAGAAATGGTAAAACTTAAATTAATACAATGTTAATGTATTTTGGTCTTTTGAATTTTTTTTAATTCAACCCCCACCCCAAACACACCCCATTTTTTTCCTGGCTTCGCCCCTGACTACATGATTGACCACATCCATAATCAACGACTTAGCATCAAGCCACGAACACTTTATAAAAGTTTGAATCATTTAGATTTTAAAAATACTTAAAGCTAGAGCCAACAATTTCAATTATTTAGTGCTAACAGACGTTCTATTTCTAAACAGCAATTACAAAGAGTAATAAAGATAGGGGTATTAATGAACCTCGAGCTCGGCTGATTTCATGGCAATGGGGATGCAGATGAGGAAGACGCCGAACATGGCAAAGGCAGTGTTGCGACGCCAGTGCTTGGGCCGGCAGTACGGACCTCCGGAGAAGCTCCACACCTTCTTCCTGAAATCCTCAGCTCCATGCCCATGCCCATGCTCTCCCCCTCCCATTTTTTTTGCCCTAATTTAATCGATGGATGGATTGAATCTCTGACCACACAAATAATTAGATCTAATAAGAACTAAAAAAAAGTACATCATAATGGAAAGAAAAGAATAACAACGACAATAGATGAGCGAAAAGGGGAAGGGATATTTGGTGATTGAGGTACCTAACAGAAAATTGCAGGTCAAGAACAACGATCAGCAGAGGCTGTTGACAAATGGCGAGAGTGAGCGAAAGGAATTCAAGTATTTGTTGGTGGTTTGAAGTGAGAACCCATGGAGGCCCATTTCTTGAGGATTTACTTGGGCTTCTCCGTCATTACTTGAGTATTTCTGAATCCGCCACTTGTTACGAACAATTTGTCATGCACAGCTGTTCAAAAACGATTTGTTGTTACAATTGTAAAGAGAAAATATAAAGAAAATGATGTAAAGAAGTTGATAAATCTTATAGATGAAATTCTCTGCTAGGTTTTCCTTCTTCATTCTTCATCTCGGCTTTTCTCAGCCTTTTTCTTCTTAAATTTTTATTACATATTCGAATAATTCACAGCTGAGTTGTGACAATTGGTAACCAAAACTAAGCGATTGAATAAATCTTCCTCTATCCGTGGCGGCTCGAGTACTCCTTTTCCTTCGTCTTCTTCGAGCTCATCATATTTTTATAGACATTTCTCCGATGAAAGCAGAGACAATTCAGCTATTATTTTTTAAAAAATAATTATGATGGGACACGAAACGCTGATTTCATGGAAATCTTATATCTATGAAGTAATGGTAGTGGGAAATTTATACAACATAAGAAGTTCTAAATCTTCTGTTTGAAAATTTTGGGGTTATGAATAATGAGTGCTACTAAGACAACTATATACGACAGCCAGAGCACGTATATATACATGAGAAAAGAACCCAAAAACCTATTTGGCTAGCAGTTCTATACCTCATCACCATATCCATTTATAGGGTATGTGGATATATATACATAGGTGCTTGGCTTTATTGTCAACTTCGAATAGGGTGGTGTGGCATGGCAACTAATCATCCAAAACCAATTTACAATCTGCCTATAAATGCCGTCTCATTCGATCTTTTTGTCCTCGTATGTTCCGGTTCTGCAGTCGAAATGTGTAAGAAGACGAAAAGATAAAAGTGCAAACAAGATTAGCTTACCTTGATCCGTGAAACTGAATAAAGGAGGTAGAGCTCGGTCGTTCGGTGTCATCGATGAAGGGATGTGCGCAGGCCTCCAACTGAAAACCGGGAAACAAACACACAGATGAAACTTTGTGAGCAACATTTCTAGTCAATTGCTGCCATTTCAAGGTGCCAATAAGCATAAATGCATGCAGCTGAAAACAGCAATAATATAACGTGAAATACTCACAGGGGTGCAACGTAGGTTTGGCGAATACTGGAGCAGCCTTGATAGAAGATCCACTGCTTCAGGGGGTATTCTTCGGTTAAAAACCTGCAATTATTGCTTTAAGATTTCCGATTTTTTTTACGATACGTGTGCACATATAAGTTAATTAGAAGATGGTCCGATAAGCATACCTTATGCCATGGATGTGCTTTGATCTGAGGGAATTTGAACTCGGTATATTTTAGATTCATACATTTGTTTTCTTCTCTAGTTGGTGTTCCCAGTTTCAGATAGTGTAAAGCAAAAGGAAGCGAAGAATATGAAGAAGAAAACACAGAACGAAAAGCAAAAAGGAGTAATGAAGGAGCCATCGATGTACACCTTAATAATTTCCACTAGCTGATCGACATCAGTTTCACCAGGAAACAGTGGCTGCAAATGGTGTAATAGAGAGTATTATTGCATATAAAAGAGTTTTTTCAGAAATAACTCTTACATACTACAAATGCATGCTTTGGATAAGAACTCATAATGGGGAACGATGGCAGTTCGATGAAAGAATTGTTTTGCAAAATGTGCTTCGGTGAAGAATTTCAGGACGACAGGCCTATATATCTTACAAGCAATTACAGGGGCTCAAAAAGTGACTGCATAAGAGATGGTGCAGAAATAGATGCCAAGGGGGGGGAAGAAAACAGTGTTGAAATGCAGACTTGTATTATGAACGTTAACGAAATCAGAAGAGTCAAATAAAGATCAAAAGAGGGGATAATATATGTAAACTACGAATGCTATTAAAGCATCACTAGAGCAGTGCAATTATTACAGGGCGAATAGAACACAAGTCGACACCAAAGCTACATTTGTATATTGCGCTGCCCCAAATATCAGTTCAGGCGCCCTATAATATCGTGATCTTATATATGATATGTTGGGTTCACCTGGCACCTAAAGGTTCAGAGTAAGTATCAAAAGTTTCACAGACCAGGAAAAGGGATTTTCAAACTTCCCAAAAAAAATTCTGACATACCAACATCTGTGCGCTACCAAAATCACATATCTTCAGCTGGTGAGTGTGGGGATTGACCTGCAATTGCATCGCAACATTTGCTCCAATATCATTTAGCCTTGAATAATACCAATAGTTATGAGAAGAATAAAAGCAATGACATGTTAAAGCCAATATCATAGACGAGACACATAACATCACGCACAATGTGTAACATAAGTGTCGAAATGTCTTACCAGTAAATTTTGTGGCTTAATATCACGATGGCATACACCAAGCATATTGTGTAGATAATTTTGACCACGGTAAATCTAAAAACAAAAGCAGTATAGATATCATAATAGTACACTTAGAAAAGAAACGAAAATTGGTTAGATAAAAAGTTGAACCAGTGGAATTTCACAGTTCACAAATTGGCTAAATTAGGCAAGGTCAAGGATCACCTGATTTGTATACAGATGCACAAAAAGCATGGGAATATGACAGATTGACAGTTCATTCTAGAGTAGTGTTTTGAAACTCGGAAACCTGTTTCGGGTATGTAATCCAGAACCAGGTTAAGATAGAGCTCATTTGCGTCAGTGGATGAAAAGAAATAGTGTTCAATTGGACCGTATTAGGATGGTCAAGTAAATGCATAATCTGGAGCTCCCTGTTCTTGTATCTTTTATCGAACCTTCTTTATAGCAACAGATTCATCTCTCTCCAAGCACTTAGCCTACATAGCAAACATAAAAATGTGTTTCTAACTCAAAGAGAAACATTTTCATCATCTTCAAACACCAAGACAATACGGTGACCTGTCAATATACTCATACCGGAAAGCAACAACAAATGAACCAGTTCCAACCACACGCTAAGCCATAGACGAGATAGTCTGAAGCCCAATGAAAAAAGATACATTGTTAAGACTAATTGTCCTACATCCGAATCTATCTGATTCGAATCCAACGCGAAATAATATGTTTATTAAAAAATATATTAATTTTATTCAATAATAATAATAAAGATTTAACTAAAAATATTTTTTTCTTAATTATAATTTGTATACTCATTTTACAAACATAATCTTTTAAATTTAAAACTTGTAGAGAGAATAATAGTTTCATTAACAATCTCGTAGTCCAAGAGTATCAATTTCAAAGGTCCCACACTGTCTGATATCATTAGCAGTACAGATAACTAAGGCCCCGTTTGGTTCAAGTAATATCTTATTACCGGGCGAATGAAATCTTCATTCCCCGTTTGGTTTGCCGGTAATCTTATTTTCGATAATTTTTTATTACCAACAATGATTTTTTTTGGGTATATTACCGGGAATGTGATTACCTCCCTTCCCTTAATTATTGTTGGATTACCGAAGTTTTGGACTAAAATGCCCTTATTTTTTTCAAAATTATCCTTCTTCTATCGTTAAATAATAAAAATTCTACGAATGTTAAATAACAAATTTATCATTAAACTATTTTAGATTTACAAAAAAAAAAATCCAAAATTATAATTTTATATGAAACTTAGAGGTTAACATAAAATTTTACCTTTTATTAAACATATTTATCTTTTTAATTTTATAAAAAATATATATATAAATTTTATTAATTTAATTTTTTTAAAGAAAATATATAAATTAATTATAGTAATATTATAGTAAAATTTAACTTGTTAAAAAATAAATATATATAATAAGGACAATTTGGTAAAATATACATTCTAATAATCTTTTTATTTCTTTAACCAAACATGGTAATCTTACATTCCTGTTAAACCAAACAAACACAAAAATACAACATTTTCAGTAATTTTATTCTCTGATAATTTTTTTATTATCACTAATAATCTTGTATTTCGTGAACCAAACGCACCCTAAGAGTAATACCATTTAAAGGGGTCAGATATACTTTCTCGGTATTCACGTGCATGGATTGCCAGTCTAAGCTTGAGACACTTGTAAATGATGATGTCTTCATACCTAATCATAGGCAAATTAATAAAATATTAGTATAAAAAAATTAAATGATATATAACAATTTTTTTGGTGAGATATAACAATTTTTTTAATAGTCATAAATAATTATAATATAATACTCTCTTTGGCTTATTAAATCAGTTCATTACTGATTTTTCTTTGATTTTTTTTCAACTTTAACTCATTTCTTTTAAATTTTATTATTGATAAAAATATGAAAAAATATATTTTAAAAACTTTCAATCAAATAGTTTTTAAAATATATATTTTATAAAATTTTAATTATAAAATATTTAAAATAATCATGATTAGAATTAGAGAAAATAATCTCAGTGACCGAAAATCCCTTATAATATACGATTTTAACCAATTTTTTTTTTGATTTGTCAAAATGACCAATAAAATCGCAATGCGATATCTAAATCGCAACGCGATCTCCAGTATCGCAAATAAGTTTTCAGATTCGCAACGCGAATTTGGAAAATCGCAATGCGATTTTGACTAATCATTGCGATAGCACTGTTCACCGTTGCGATAACACTGTTCACATTTTATAATTTTTTTGTTGTTTCCTGTCCAGAATGATGCAGAAAAGCTTCAAACTTGGTTGGTTGGTTGGTTGGTTGTCCCTTGTTCCCATATGTAATGGGGTAAGGGGGAGGTAAGATAGTAGGCTGCCCCCAACACTAGGTTGAGAGCAGCTTCCATAAGATACCTCCAAATTATAAAATGCCCTCCATGAGACTCGATCCAACGACCTCAAGGTTAAGAAACCTTGTGCTATACCAAAATTTTATATTATTTAAAATTTATAGTTTATCATAAATAAACATTATAAAATTTATTTTTATTTTTTAAAAAATTATATTCTATCATAAAACCTTATAAAGAGAATTCAAACAAAAAAAAATCCCAAATTTGAAGCTTTTTGCATCTTTCTAGACAGAAAACAACAACGATTTTTTTTTTGCGATAGCATGCTAGTTGCTGGAAACCATTAAGACAGAGTTTAAGAAAATGCCATTAACAGGAGTAGAAAAACTTGACATTTGAGGGAAGAAATACAATGTACAATTAGTACCTTTAGATGCAGCTGAAGAATCTGGGAATTAAAAGAAAAAAAATTAAGAGATTAAATATAAATAAATAATTATATTCTATTCTATCATAAATATTTAATTTATATTTATTTAATTTATATTATTTAAATTTATAGTTTATCATAAATACATTATAACATTTATTTTTATTTTTTTAAAAAATATATTCTATCATAAAACCTTATAAAGAGAATTCAAACAAAAAAAATCCTAAATTTAAAGTTTTTTTGCATCATTCTGGACAGGAAACAACAATACTATCGCAAATTCGCAATATGAACAGTGTTATCGCAACGGTAAACAGTGCTATCGCAACGCGAATTTGGACTATCGCATTGCGATTTTCCAAATTCGCGTTGCGAATCTGAAAATTTATTTACGATACTGGAGATCGCGTTGCGATTTAGAGATCGCATTGCGATTTTGTTGGTCATTTTGGCAAATCCAAAAAAAGTTGGTTAAAATCGTATATTATAAGAGATTTTCAGTCACTGAGGTTAGTTTCTCTTAAAATTAAAAGAAATTTGACTTTTGAAAAGTAAAAAAGAGACAATTTTAGTGGGATGGAAGAAGTATTTATTTAGAATTTTTCTTAGTCAATTGACAATGTATACATACTCTTCACACATAGTTGTTCGAATATAAAATCTCTAAAAACACTATTTTTTTACCACTGAAATCACTTTAATGCAGTTACATGTATTTTTAAGAAGTTTTTGACTCAAGCGTCACATTTGCCCCTGTAGTAGACCTAATTATCATTTTCGCCCCTATAGTATTTTCGCATCAATTTTTCTCTAAAGTTGTTTAATTATACCATTTTATATCCTACTCTAACTAAACCCTAAATTAGGATTTATAATTTATAAATTATGGTTTAGAGGTTATGGGGTTATGGTTTGGGGTTTAGAGTTTATAATTTATAAGAATATGATATAGAATGACGCAATTGAGCAAATTCGATGGCTAAATTAATATGAAAATACGATAGTGGCGAAAGTGATAAATTAGGTCTACTGTAAGAGCAAAAGTTACCGTTTTTCCAAAAAAAAAAATATGTATCATGTGAACTTAAAAACTATTAATTAGATTAAATTATTTAAAATAATTTTTAATATTAAAGTATTTAGTTGGTATTATCTTTCTTAAAATAAATTATAACAATATCTTAATAAAAAAATTAACAAATTTTAAATATAATCTTAATCTTATCTAGAAGAGAGAGAAAACCAACTTTTTTTGTTAATCTCGGGTAAGTAAAAGACAATATGTGTTAAAGATAACTTTAAACCATTTGACATTAAAAGTTCACACCTCTCACATTACTGATTCTAAAACTATAAACCTCAAAGGATAACAATAACTCTTTATTATTGAGGTCAATTAACTCGTATGAAAAAACTTTATGAAAAAAAAGAAAAATACTTTCTAAAAAAATATAAAATATGAATAACTTAAGGGTTAACTATTTCAAATTTCACTAACCTTTAAGCGCTAACTTGTTTATACCACTAACGTTTTAATTTTGTCAATTTTAACACCAACGTTTACATTTAAGTGCAATTATGCAACTCCTTTGTTAATGGTTTAACGGGACAATGACATGGCAACAGTATGTCGTGACATCGCTGACGTGGATACCTCATTTAAACGATGTCGTTTTGACGTTTCTGTTTTAGTGTTCAAAAAACCCAAAAATGATGTTTTGCTTGAACCCTAATTTTCCTATAGACTAAACTCAATTTTTCCCATTATATTTTTTCTCTTCTTCTCATCTTCACCTGCAACTCATTTTCCACGGTTTTCTTGGCAACCAAACAGATATTTAAATCCAATCAAATCAGTTCATCGTCCTTGCATTTCAACTTTATTACCCCACTAAAATGAAAGGACTATGTTCTTCAAAGCAAAAACTCTAAACAAGTAAAAACGAACCCTACAAAAACAATCTTTTTTTTTTTTTTTGAAGGATTCAATATTCAAAAACAAATGTTTTAAACCCCATTAATGAATTAACAACTAAAAAGCACAACAAATAATCAAACTTCAAAAAGAGGAAAACTTTGAAGACAAAAACCAAAAGAACAAGTAGGAATATTTTCAAATATGTACATAAGTCATCGATAAATATACAAAATATATACGTAGAAATGTAGAGAGAGATTATTGGAAGAGAGAGAAGGAGGGAGTTGAAGTGAGAGAAAGAAAAAAAGTTTAAAAAATAAAATTGATTGATGAGAGAGTTTCAAAGGAGAGTCTGCTGCGTGACATGGGATAATTTGAGTTTAGTCCCTTGAAAAATTAGGGTTCAAATAAAATGACATCATTTTGGGTCTTTTGAGTACTAAAACAGAAACGTCAAAACAAAATCGTTTAGTTAAGACATACACGTTAGCGACGTCACAGTATTCCGTTGTCATATTATTGTCCCATTAAACCATTAACAATAGAGTGGCACAATTGCACTTAAACATAAATATTAGTATTAAAATTGATAAAATCAAAATATAATAATATAAACGAGTCAACGCTTAAAATGATGATATTTGAAGTAGTTAACCCATAACTTAATTATCTATCACCGAATGTGATTGCTCGCTTTAATAAAAATAATTAATTAAGTGAACAAATTAAAATATTAATATCAATTGAAATTATAAATTATTAAATTAATATAAAGTAATATGAAAGACTAAGACCATTATTGGACTTTATTTAATATCTATTTGTATTTTACTACTGAGAAAACCAGACTTCTTCACCTTTATTATAAGCTTATTCCAAGGAGCTCTCCCCTGCCTCTCCCTTACTTCCACTCATATATAGTTTCAAGCTTTTTATTTCCTTTGTAATTTACGTAAAATCTGATTTCTATTTTTTGCTGCAATGGCGGCTTCTTCGACAATTTCAAGTTCTAATTTCAACCCTAACTCTACACAGAGAAAGCACAACTCGCCATTAGAACGAAGGCCCCGAATGCTGAAAGATTTCCTCCACGATGATTCCAACTCGTCTTCCTTAAATGGGTTCAATTCATTTCAGAGAAAATATTGCCAGAATTCCAGCATTTTCCGGGAAAATCTAAACAACTGTCAAAGACTTCAAAGAAGCCGATCAAAAGCCGCCTCAACAACAATATCAGCTTTCCAGGCAATTATCAACGCCATTAAAAGCATCCATTTTGCTTCATCGGTTAAATCTCTTTCGATCTTACTGCCCAGAAGCCTTTCACGTAAACTTTCCAAAAGGAACTCACAATCACACCTCAACGTCGAAAACAAAGGAACGGGAATCAAAATTACCGTGATAGTCAAAGATATCATACGCTGGAAATCGTTCCGTGATTTAGTGGAGGAGAAATCTCCACCGTCGGATTTTGCTTCTTCTTCTTCCCCTCAAACAACTACAAAAATGGGATCCAACACTCCTTGTAGTAGTAGCAGCAACGGCTCAAGCTGGTGCGACAGCGATTTCACCTCGGAATATTTACCGTCCGATGAATACGGTGAAAACGAAGCTGACATCGTGGGTAAAATATTCTCACCGCGTGTCGGTAAGGAAGACCCCATGGAGACGACGACGACGACAACAACAAAGACAGCAACTAACACAGATATGGGACCCAAAGTAAGTAGAACAACATTATTTAGTGCATCGCATATCTTAATAAAATCTCATGTGTCTGCTGATGAGGGTCCTTAGTTTTGTCATTTAGTTCAATTAGGTTGACTCTTTTCTTGTTTCACACTTGTCTGTTTTTGACGACAAAGAACAACATAGTTAATAAGCCATTGGAGTTGAGATTAACGCTTTAAGTTGGAACATGGAAACTTCTTGATGATCGAATATTCTCCATTTGGTCGAATTTTCAGCATGCAAGGGAAGAGACAGAACAGAAGAGTCCATTGTCGGTGCTTGATTTTGAACATGGTGCTGAACTGGTTTTGGATCTATTTCGAGAAGAAATAGAGACGAAGTGGGATCAAAAGGGGGAGGTCGAACGTGAAATGGTAAAGCTGGTAAAAGCATTGGATTGGTAGAGAACATGGCGAGACGTCAACAAGGGAGGGTTGTGTTAGAGAAATGGAAAGGGAGGGAAGGTGGAGGAATTGCGAGTTTCATGAAGAACAACAAGAGTTGGCCATGGGAGTGGAGAGATGGGTGACGAATATTTTGGTGGATGAATTATTAGTTGATCTCATGTAGAGATTTAAATTACATATACGATCGCGATGTGTTTATTATAATTACGATAATAATAAATGTTATTACGATAATTATAAATATTACGATTATGCGATAATAATTTTAAAATATATTTTTATTGTTATATAAGATTCGATATTCCAATAACGTATTGATATTTAAATTCCTTCCTGTGATGAAATAACCGAACGGTGAATCAACATGAAAGGGTTGTTTCAATAACAATGCATGACACATATATTTTAAATAGTATGGAGTAAGGTAATATTTGTTTTTTTTTTCATTAATGACTGTATAAATTAAAAATTTTATGCATAATAACATTTTTTTAACCCAGCTTGACATTGCTTGGTAGATTCATATATATGACAAATATTTGTATTTATAAAATAATAATTAAAATAGTTTATATATAACATCAAACGTAAGACTACAATTAAATTTAAGATAAATTATACTAGATGCCCATAATTATATATTTTAATCTAGTAACTTTAATAAGTTTTTAATGTTTCATAAGCCAAACCACCTCAGTTAAAAGAATTGTTGTTATACTTAGAGGTTATAGGTTCAAACATTAAATAATTGGAAATATTTAGAAGATATATTACTTTGTAATCACTAGGGATGACAAAAAAACCCGAACCCGACGCAGAAAACCGAAAACCTGAATTAAACGGGAACGGAGAAAAATCGTTTATGCTAAACGGGGACGGGTTTGGTAATCCTCGCCCCAATTACCCGATTATCCGGCCTCATAAATATTAAAAATAATTATTATATATATAATATTAATAAATTTAATTTAAATTAAAAAATCTATATAATATTTATATATTTAATTTAAATATATATATACCTGGCCCGATACTCGGCCCGATACCTGTTTATGCTAAACGGGGATACCTGTTTTCCCGCGGTTTTCCCCGATTACCCGATGGGGAACCCCGTTTAAATCCCTGCAGTTTTTTAAGCGGGGATGGGTATGGGTTTTTTAAACGGGGACGAGGGGGACCAATACCCGGCCATAACCCGACCAGTTGCCATCCCTAGTAATCACCTTAGCTTAATAGTAAAAAAGGGTAAAGTAAACAAATGGTCCCCCAACTATATGATACTACTTTATTAAGTCTTTAGACTATTAAAAGTTACATAATTATCCACATAATATAGAGTGTTACTTTGTTGAGTCTCTTGACTATTAAAAGTTACAAAACGGTTACCCGACTATTCATTATGCTCTAAACTCATCAGTTTTTCGTTAAAAAATTAATAGTATTTAAAGATGAACTTTAACATGTTGAATGTGATATGATAAAATATGATATCAGAATCTCAAACAATTATAACATCTCAATCATCATGTTAACGTCCAGCGTAGACAACCGTAAATTTTTAACGTGGTGTTTGAGGCAATTCATAATTCGGAAGTCTCTCACGGAAGTTGTTCTCAACCTGGTGTTTGAGGGAACCTACTATCTTACGTCTCCTTACCCTATTACATATGGGAATAAGGGTTAGCTAATTTTTTTTTTAATTCTCTCCACAACTGAATTTCCTCTTCTTCTCTGTTGTTGATCTTAGCTGGGCAGCCATTGTATCAATATATACGAACTTCGTCGAATTGTTATAGTGTTGATTTTTTTCCTTAGAAAACGAAAATGGAATTCGCTTTTGCAGTATATAATTAAAAAAAAATTAAGTCAAAATCATGTTTGGAAGTCTTCCGGCAATCGCTTATTGTCACAGTCCTCATCTCCGGAAGCCTGTTTCCATACCTGCAGGTTCTCATTTTCATTAAGCTCCGATCCATTTCAGTAATCGATTGACTTTTTTTTTATTCCGGTTTCATTTGTTTAGGGGATGATGAACCTGGAAATGGAAGTGAAATTAAGGATACGAATCGATCTCTGTTCACCGCTTCTATAATGCCTTCTCCCGCCTTTCTGTAGAAATTTAAGGTCGAAATTGGATTTCATACCTTGTTGAATTCTTTATTAACTTTGATGCCTTCTCTCCTTCTTGTGGTTAGTTAATATCTCTTCGAGTTGGCTACAGAATGTTCTTTGATATTGGAAGTTCGTCGAATCTTGCTTCTTTTTCCTGCGATTTTAGACGATGATGGTTTGGCTATGGGGATTGTGTTTATGGGTCTTCTCACAAAGTGCTACTATTAATTATACAAAAATATTTGAACTTGATCAAAACCACCTTACTCAGAGAGAAATTGGAAGGTACTCCTGTTGTTGGCTTCTTTAGGCGTTATATGCCTTGCTTTCTATTTTGCTGTATGCAGTGTAGATATGGACGACGCTATAGTCCCAACTAGCATGACAGCATACTTATCTTTACTCCCATGGAGAAATATCATTGGCAGCATCACAACCGGTGTAATATCTACCCTCTTTCTGGCATTGTCTTATCTGCATCCTTTCATAGCTGCATATGCAAGATTCTTGACTATGATTTCTTGCAGTAATATTTGTCACCTTTTATGACTTTTTGTGATTATATATGTATTCTCCTTGAAGCACTGTCAGAGCCGGCTTTTTGAGGGGAGCAACCTGAGCACTTGCTCAACGAGGGCCCCCATTCTATATAATATTAGCTCAAGAGTAATTGTGATATTATTGGGGGGGGGGACGTGCATAACTCCGCATTGAGGTGGGTGTTTTTTGTAGAGGAAATGTTTGCAGTCTGTGGATTACATCTGCAGGCATTGCAGCATAAGAGTAGACCAAAAGTGCAGTCTGCAAGAAGAAGACTGTTTATTTTTTAACGTCTGCACTGCTAAAATGAACGAATATAAGAAACTGATTTTTTAAACTTAAAAGAGTTTTGCAATACTGAGATTTAAATAATTTTAGTTTTACAATACTAAATTTAAATAATTTATACACTAATAAAAATTATTTGAAAATAATCAATCCATGAAATAAATCAATCTATACTAATAAATTATTTAAATAAGCAATCCATACAACTACATAATAAATCAATCCATATTTAAAAAATACTATACAAAATAAATTATTTAAAATAAATCAATCCATACTAATAAATTAAAATAAAGCAATCCATATTTTAAAATAAATCAATCTATACTAATAAATTATTAAATAAATCAATCCATACAACTACAATAATAAATCAATCCATATTTTAAAATAAATCAATATACTAATAAATATTAAAATAAATCATATTTTAAAATAAATCATCCATACTAATAAATTATTTAAAATAAATATTTAAAAATAAATCAATCCATATTTATAATAATTATTTTAGAGTAAATTATTTTATAATAAATATTTTAAAATAAATACCTTATTAAATTATTTAAAATTATTAATAATAACTATATTTATAATTGTTTTGAAGAGGTTTGAGACCTTTGAAGACATAAAACCAAGTCTGCACCAAGAAGAGCTCGCGCAGACGTTGAAGAGCTTTGTCTTCTAAAAAACAAACAGTCTGCGAAGCCTAATGTCTGCGCGTGGTCTGCGCGACGCAGACATAAGTGGTTTGAAGAACTTGTGTAGACAACAAGGCCCAACCAAGGCCCAAACACGAGCCCAAGTAATTAGGGTTTTAAACCCTAAACCTGTCATCATTCAGCCGCCGCCGCCGCTTCTGTTGGACTTCCAGCCGCGCCCGCCGTCACTGTTCCGGCCCACTCCGATGTCCAGCCGCCGTTCCCCCGCCACCATCGTCATCTACAGTGAAAAATCAATCAAACAGCAACCCCCATCAGTGACCAAATCAACCAAAAACCAAACCCCAAATTAAAATACCAATAAATCCCTAAATATTCGGGATTTATATCTTACAAAATCAGAGACTCATACCCCTATTCTAGATATCATCATCATCTCACCCAACAAACAAGATTAAAGTACATGCAGCAACAAAAAGGAGGCCATTCGGGTTTTTAAAAAAAAAGATTGGGAGCAGAAGAAAAACCATAAAATAGAGAGGACATTCGGGGGGGTAAAAAAAAAAATAGAAAAGAGAGAAAGCCAAAACTTACCAATAACGGGTCACTGCTTCATCGGAGGAACTGGGCCATCTTCGAAGGTAAATTCCCATCTTTGGGGGGGGTTCGGGTTCAAGTTGGTTGTGGGAAAGGGAAGAGCTTTAGGTTTTCAAAAGAGAAAGAAGGAAGAGAGGAACTTAGGGTTTATGGGTGTTTGTTTTAAGAGCCGACCGCGGCTGGAAACGCCGTGGAGCGGCGGCTGGTCGATGGGTTCGGGGAGAGAGTTCAGAACTCTCTCCTTTCTTCTTTTCTTTTTTTTTTGGGGCTCAGGAAGCAAATGAGAAATGTGAGATGAGAAAGCTTTGGGCTTAGGGTTATACATCTCCCACGAAACGACGTAGTTTCAATGGGGACCGATCTGTAATTTTATTTGGGTTAACTACACGTTTAGTCCCCCGCTCTTTGTAATATAATTATTAAGTCATATAATGAAGTTATATATTATTTGATTTCAAGCCTTTGTTTTTCCTTCCTTGCATTTTAGTCCCTGCAGGTTGAGAAACTCACCCGTGTCTCTCATATATTTAGGGTAAATCGCACTATAGGTCCCTTGCAGTTGTAATCTATTTATTTCAATCATATACTGAAAATTTGCTTTATTATATTTGAGCACTTATTTCTGTATTTCCATTTTAGTCCTAATTTCTTGTTTGATATTTTTGTGGGTGTTTGAGTTTAGCCATCATATTTGCAATATTCCATTTTAGTCACTGTTTATTATTTGATTTAATTACTGTTCGGCCCTCTATGTTTCTGTTGATATTTTAATTTGGCCTTAATATTTATGCATGTTACATTTTGGTCAATCTTACAGTTTATGTATTTTGTATTTTGTATATCATGTTCATATAGTTTATATTTTGGTCACTAGATCCTCTGTTGCTAATTTTTATAAATTTGTACATTGTATTCTGCAGTTATATATATTTTATTTTATCCTATTATAATGTAAT